TGGTTTATGAGTCTGTGACGATCCGATTAAAAATTGCCTCAGGCAAAGTAGACCAAAGTGCAATTGACCAAGTGTCGTAGGGTTCAGGCAATAGGGTTCCCCCAGGCAATCAAATTTCACCAGGCATTTTTGGTTTATGAGTCTGTGACGATCCGATTAAAAATTGCCTCAGGCAAAGTAGACCAAAGTGCAATTGAAAGTAGACCAAAGTGCATTAAAAAAAGATTACGACACCCCCGATTCCCAGGACGTCTCCGTTCCAAGTACTAAGGAAGCCCAGCGTTGCTTAACTTGCCAGATCGGACGGGATGGCGTGCTTTCAACGCGGTAAATTGCCTCAGGCAAAGTAGACCAAAGTGCAATTGACCAAGTGTCGTAGGGTTCAGGCAATAGGGTTCCCCCAGGCAATCAAATTTCACCAGGCATTTTTGGTTTATGAGTCTGTGACGATCCGATTAAAAATCCCCCCCCAGTCAATCAAATTTACCCAAGGCAATCAAATAATCGACTCAAGTAAAATATATACTCAAGTAAAGGTATGTATATATAAACTACAATTTATAAAAAAGTTAAATAATTGTTTTCTATAGACTCAAGTGTGTTTTCTTAGACTCAAGTTTTTGCCAAAGCATTAAAAAAAGATTACGACACCCCCGATTCCCAGGACGTCTCCGTTCCAAGTACTAAGGAAGCCCAGCGTTGCTTAACTTGCCAGATCGGACGGGATGGCGTGCTTTCAACGCGGTATGGTCGTAATCACTGTGTTTTCAATTTCTCAATATTTAAGAAAAAATTCTCTAAGGCAAAGTGGGCGGGGCTATTTGTTGTTCGCTGTTCGCGGGAATGGTTTAAGGCAAAAAGAAAATGGGCAATTATAAAAATGTGTGGGAGGAAAATTAGGATTAAAAAAATTTTTTTGAAGAATTAAATTTTTTAAAAAAAATAAAGCTTATAATAATAAACTTTAATCTTTTTTTAAATTTAAAGTTTATTATTATAAGCTTTATTTTTTTAAAAAATTTACTGTTATTATTATATTAAGCTTTATTATCAGTTTATTTTAAAGCAGCTTTATTCTAAATCTGATAATAATCATAAGCTTTATAATCCTAATTTTTCTCCAGCTGCAATATTTATTTGGCTCCAGACAATTGTCAGGAATTGCCATTGATAACTTTTGTGAAAGTGCCGCTGATAAATTGTAAATAATTTAGATATCTTTTGCAAAGGAAATTAAATATATAATAAGCTGTCATTAATTTTTAATTTCAGATTATTTTCGAGATTTTATTCCAAAATTATCAATTTTGGATAGGGGTCAAACCCTTTGCATAGGGGTCAAACCCTTTGCTATGTCTGGTTCAGGGTCATTTTCTTTCAAAGCGAAAGCTTTATTGTATAATTGCTTTTGTGGCTTCTTTATGTTTTAAATTGATTGTTAGATATGTTTAATTGTTCGCATGTATCATCAACAATATTAATTTTTTGACCTGAACTCAGTCGAGAGCACCCGCTGAACTTAAGCATATCAGTAAGCGGAGGAAAAGAAACTAAACAGGATTCCCCCAGTAACGGCGAGTGAATAGGGAAATGTCCATCGCTAAATCATTTTGCCTAAGGCATTATGAGGTGTAGCGTATAAGCCGTAATTTTTAATCTTTTGTCTCAAATAAGTCCCCTTGACAGGGGTTCCACAGAAGGTGCAAGTCCTGTACATTGAGATAATTGATCGATATTTACGTGCTTTAGAGTCGGGTTGTTTGGGATCGCAGCCCAAAGTCGGTGGTAAACTTCATCTAAGACTCAATATTGCCACGAGACCGATAGCAAACAAGTACTGTGAAGGAAAGTTGCAAAGCACTTTGAAGAGAGAGTTAAAGAGGACGTGAAACCGGAGAGGTGGAAACGGATAGAGTCGGCGTATCTTTCAAGTATTCATTTACATTATTTTTATGTTGTGATCTCTGAGCTCCAGATTGGGACAGAAAGAAGCATCATAATTTTCTGTGATGCATTTGCTTGTTTGGTGCTTGGGGATGTTTGAGGCAGATTTGTAACCGCCGTTTTGAGGCCAGCTTGCTGGTACCCAAACAGCGTTAGCATCTTTTGTCTTGGACATTTGAGTATGGCTTACGGGCATTTATTGGTTCGATCTGATTGTAAGTTACGGTCGCATGCGACACGTGCTTTTCATTTAGATCGGTCCAGTTAATGCTCTCGTACTCGCTCCCCATGTAAAAGCCGGTCATCTATCCGACCCGTCTTGAAACACGGACCAAGGAGTTTATCGTGTGCGCAAGTTTTTGGGTGTTAAAAACCTAAAAGCGAAATGAAAGTAAATGGCTCTTTAGAGTCTGATGTGAGATCTTGTAAAAAAGGGCAGCATGGCCCCATTCTAACTGTTTACAGTAGGGTGGAGGAAGAGCGTACGCGGTGAGACCCGAAAGATGGTGAACTATTCCTGAGCAGGACGAAGCCAGAGGAAACTCTGGTGGAAGTCCGAAGCGGTTCTGACGTGCAAATCGATCGTCTGACTTGGGTATAGGGGCGAAAGACTAATCGAACCATCTAGTAGCTGGTTCCCTCTGAAGTTTCCCCCAGGATAGCTGGAGCTCATTAGAAGTTATACTCGGTAAAGCGAATGATTAGAGGACTTGGGAACGAAATGTTCTTAACCTATTCTCAAACTCTAAATGGGTATGATGTCAAAGTTGCTTGATTTTGAACTTTGGCGTTGAATACGAGTTCCAAGTGGGCCATTTTTGGTAAGCAGAACTGGCGATGTGGGATGAACCAAACGCGGAGTTGAGGTGCCAAAGTGCCCGCTCATTAGACACCATAAAAGGTGTTGGTTGATACAGACAGCAGGACGGTGGCCATGGAAGTCGGAATCCGCTAAGGAGTGTGTAACAACTCACCTGCCGAATCAACTAGCCCTGAAAATGGATGGCGCTGGAGCGGGCCACCTATACTCTGCCGTCATATGCTTGTATTTTCCGTGAAAAGTCTTGCAATGACGTGTAAGAGGGTCGTAGTGGTTGCAATGAAGGCTTTGGGTGTGCACCCAGCTGGAGCTTCCACTAGTGCAGATCTTGGTGGTAGTAGCAAATATTCAAGTGAGATCCTTGAAGACTGAAGTGGAGAAGGGTTCCACGTGAACAGTAGTTGAATGTGGGTCAGTCGATCCTAAGGCACCGGCTAAAGCCGTCTAGACACTGCGGGGAGATGAGATACTTAACGGTATATTGTCTACTCGGTTGCCGAAAGGGAAGTGGGTTAATATTCCCACACCAGGCATGGGAGATGGTGATCCGCAAGGATTACTTTGCGCGGTGACGCAAACGAACTCGTAGACCTCGTGTGGAGTCCGGGCCAGAGTTCTCTTTTCTGGTTTAGAGATCATGTCCCTGGAAGTGGCTCAGCCTGAAATAGGGATGCTGGTCTCGTAAAGCGCAGCGGTTCCTGTTGTGTCCCGTGTGCTCCACATGAGCCGTGAAAATACGAGGGAGGCAATTTAAAATCTCCTGCCTGATCGTACCCATATCCGCAGCAGGTCTCCAAGGTGAACAGCCTCTAGTCGATAGAATAATGTAGGTAAGGGAAGTCGGCAAATTAGATTCGTAACTTCGGGAAAAGAATTGGCTCTAAAGGTTGGGTCAGTCGGGCTGTTGTGTGAAACAGGTGGACTTTGCTCGTGGCTGCTTGATCTTCCCTTCGGGGCGGCGCTTGTGGACTAGTAGTGAGGACTGCTTGTGGAGCGCTTCAGCTGCGTACTATTTCGATAGATATAGTACTTCGATTGGCGCTGAACAACCAGTTTAGAACTGGCACGAACTCCGGGAATCCGACTGTCTAATTAAAACAGAGGAGACGGATGGTCTTTGCAGGACGTTGACCGTGTCTGATTTCTGCCCAGTGCTCTGAATGTTAAGCCAAGGAAACTTGATTAAGCGCGGGTAAACGGCGGGAGTAACTATGACTCCCAGGCAATCAAATTTCACCAGGCATTTTTGGTTTATGAGTCTGTGACGATCCGATTAAAAATTGCCTCAGGCAAAGTAGACCAAAGTGCAATTGACCAAGTGTCGTAGGGTTCAGGCAATAGGGTTCCCCCAGGCAATCAAATTTCACCAGGCATTTTTGGTTTATGAGTCTGTGACGATCCGATTAAAAATTGCCTCAGGCAAAGTAGACCAAAGTGCAATTGAAAGTAGACCAAAGTGCATTAAAAAAAGATTACGACACCCCCGATTCCCAGGACGTCTCCGTTCCAAGTACTAAGGAAGCCCAGCGTTGCTTAACTTGCCAGATCGGACGGGATGGCGTGCTTTCAACGCGGTAAATTGCCTCAGGCAAAGTAGACCAAAGTGCAATTGACCAAGTGTCGTAGGGTTCAGGCAATAGGGTTCCCCCAGGCAATCAAATTTCACCAGGCATTTTTGGTTTATGTAATGTTATTATTATATTTATTTAATGTTATTATTATTTTAAGCTTTATTATCAGATATTTTAAAGCAGCTTTATTCTAAATCTGATAATAATCATAAGCTTTATAATCCTAATTTTTCTCCAGCTGCAATATT